TTCGAGCTCGGTGAGCATGAGTGAGTGTGAAAAAGTAATAAGTTAACACCACCTTTTAGATCTATAAGAAACTAAGAAATACTAAAGAGTCCAGACAACGTAAACACCCACACGCACACAATTACACAAAGAGATACACACGGGTTGGTTCAGATTCTTCCGAAAGATTTTACTAGTCTCACACAGAAATTATAGAATAAAAGATGTTCACTTCATAACCAATTATTTCTTGTATTCTTTATTTTTTTATTATAAAAAATACGAAAAGGCTTTTAAAATTGGTACCACAAATTAAAATGATTAGTTGTCAAATAAGAATTAATAGATGTTAACAAGAATCTCAGGAGCACTAAATCAATAAATTATATTTGGAGTTAGAAAAAAATTAGTTAAAATACTTAGGTCCTCATTAGTGAGGATCTACACTTTATGTAGTTTATTAAAAATAAAACAAGTTCTCTTTTTTTTAAGAGGTTAGAAAAATAAAATAAATTGAATCCTACCCGAATGAAATCAAGTAAATGGGTACCGCCTTCAGCCTTCTCTTTCCACGATCTTCTTTCTGTCAATCTTCTCGTCCTAAAAACAATAATATTTGAAAGAGATATGATCTATTTGTTTTTTTCACACATGTAGGGTTCTTTTTCTATAAGGGGATTTTCCATGAAAGATTATGGATTAGATTTAAGGTTCCACATACATATCAACACAAAACTCTAAAACCTAATTTCCCCTGAAATTATGTCCCTAAGGTTTTTTTTTTTTCTTTCCAAAAATCTGATCTTTTTTTTTCTCTCTCTCTCTCTCTCTTTTCTCTTTTTTTTTGGTTATTTATATGCTGATTTTTTATTCAAAAAAAATAAAAATCAATGGAATTTGAAAGAAGCTTAACAGAGAGGCCAATGATTTGTCGAGGACTAAAAGCTTATGAGGAAGAAAATGGTGGAGAGAGAGGGATGAAGGTGGTGCTGGAAAGCGAGAGGACCAAAAAGCGACGTTGACCCCTTGAAAAAGATAAAAAAAATTGGTTAAACTCGCATTACCAAAAAATTGGTAAAACTGAAATTATGTCCCTGAGTTTTTTTTTTTCCTCCAAAAATCTGATTTGTTTCTTTTTTTTTTCTCTCTCTCTCTCTCTCTCTTTTTTGTTATTTAAATGCTGATTTTTTATTCAGAAAAAAAAAAAAAATCAATGAAATATGAAAGAAGCTTAACAGCTAAATTACAACTATACATAACATGATGCTAAATCAAAGGATGGTGACTGATATGCAAATCCTTGATTCATGAGAAATTGTTCAATCTGGTTGTGCTTGATTGGGAAAGTCAATGGATTTGCTAGAGCTTGATTTAGAGACATTAATTGACTTCTGATTGTGAAGAATTGTATCTAATCTCATAAAAGCGTTAAACCTTTTTAAAAAAAATAAAATAAATCATTGAACCCACATTACCCGATCTCATTAGGGTATGATCCGATTTATTTTATTTTTCTAATTTGTTTAATAAAAGAGGACCCGTTTTCTTTTTATTGAATCACATAATTGATGAGAATAGTGTAAATTCTTATTAGTGAGGACTTAAATATTGATATAAATTTATTTATGTAACCCTGTTTTAGAAAAATTATGATTTCTGAAATATTGAGGACCATTGGTCAAAATCTATATTTTTGAACATAATAACGAATATTGAATTGGTCAAAATCTATATGGTCCATCTGGAAAGACGGAAGCCTAAAGAGCTAGTTGTTTTTCAGCACATATCCAACCTATTTTAATTCACCAATGCCAATTTTTTAGAATCATAACTTTTAAAAAATATTTAAAATTGTTCATTGGTAAAGCAGCTTTCCTAGCCACTCCAACAACAGAAAAACAATCTTTCTTCAGATTCTCCTTTATTATATTTCTTTAATTTTATCATTCAATTTGTGTTAAAACCACTAAATTAAGTAATAAGCAGGGAGAATTTGAACGAGAGTGGGTGCAGAGTTTGAGAGCGACACATGCTGAGAATTGTGTGACTTATGGTCCAAGTCTCTTCAAAATCACTGTAAAGAGTTATTTGCCACAGATAAAGAAATAAAATTCTCTCAAATACTTCTATATATAATAATCCGCCAGGGAACTACTCCCCTGATCCCAATTTAAATATTGCTTTTAAGGAGTATGAATTTTTAAGGAGACATGTGGAATATGTCTTGTCATTATGAAAAGTTACTAATTTGTCCTTATATTCAAATTTAAAATTTAAAATTTCAAAGACATATATAAAAAGATTTAAAATATATTATTTGAAAAAGGTAAGTGATTAATTATTTTGGGACAGACAAAAATAAAAATAAAAAAATATGATATTTTTTTTGAGATAGAGAAAATAGATCTTATGAACATGGGAGGTCAAATTTAATGACTCTCTAAGGCGATCACATCTAATCTAAATTTTTGGATAAAAACATAGGCTTCACTCTAAACATCAAACGAGTCTTTTTTATTATTATTATTTTTTACAACTGAGGCTTTAAGCCACAATTTTAGGACCTGTTTAAAATTGGAAATGGAATCCCTTCCGGTCATGTGCCATATTTTGTGCATTAAAATGGCATAGTTTTGATGTACAGTACAGAGTTCCACGCGCCCCAAATTGACTTCCATGTTTACCCATCAAAATTGTCCTGTCTTGGTGCATAGCAAGGGGATTTGAGTTCTTAGAATTGTTATTCAACTAATTGAAAGCACTTTTATTTTAAATGTTTGCTTTTAAATATATTTCCTTTTAAAAAATACTTTTAAGTGACAGAAAGGTTTTTAGTATACAATTTTATTGAATTTTATTTTTTATAAAAACAATTTCATCCCTCTTTTTAGGCATTATTGTAAAATTAACTATAGAAATATTTTAAACAATATTATTATCAAACAAATTCAAATATCTCAAATTGCAGAATTACTTTATAAAATGCGTCATAAAACACCTATCAAGTTTGTTTTGTGTTAGTGATAATTTACGTTAATAAAGATGACTTAGGATGGAGTCAAACGGGAGACATTTCGGAGGTGATCTAAAACACATCTTTAACTAGAAGGTATTAGATACACTCATCATATTGTGCATTGGGCTCATTTGAGCAATACGTGTTGTACACTCACGGACGTGTGCACGTAAGCTCGAATGAGTTGGTGTATCGTGCACCGAGTGCACTCAAGGACGAAGCTAATATAGGACCCAGGGGCATGTGCCCCCCTGAATTTTTTCCTTATTTGTTTCTTAAATATATATATATTTTAAATTGTTTTATTATATTATGTATATATAATTTATTAATTTACTTCATCACAAGAATACCAATCTCTATATATATCCACTTATGTCTCTTTATATATATATATATATTTTGTAAACACTAATTTAATTTATATGTAATTTAGTGTAATACAATGTGCCCCACCTAAAAAAGAATTCTGGCTCCATCCTTGGCGCACTTAATATCTATTCCTTCTTCAACCTAGTTATTTTTCTTAAACTCGATACATTTTAGAGTTGATGTAAGAGAAAAACTTACTCCATGTATTAGTGATATGGTATTACGAACGATTAAATATTGACACATAATGATATGAACCGTAAAAAATAAATTTATTTTTACTTATGTAACAATATTTAATTAGTTGATCACTTGTAGGAAAGCCTTTGTTGTGATCTAGAGACACATATTGTATTACCTTTTATTTATTTTTTCAACAATGGACCTTTCTGAATATCCTGAATAGTTATCGAGAAATTTCCTAAAAGTGGTTCCAAGAATAATCTACACAGGTACATGTAAGAAACAGGCAGCAGTGAAAATTTCAAGAGTATTACTCAATTTTCCGGAGAAAAAAACAAACGGAAAGAAAAGAAAAGAAAAATTCAAGAGTAATCAAATGAGTATTCTGTCATACAACCTTGTAGCCTCAATAATAATCCCTCACCTTTAATATCAAAATATTCCTATAAAAACAACAAACATCAAAAGAAGCTAGATGCTTTTGAAAAGTCGCCATGCATCCAATTACAGCATGAGATGACTGCATTATATTATATATAGATATATTGAAAAGGAAAAATATTATCTTGGGCCTCCCCCATTCAATGAAGACTTGTTCTTCCCTAAAAAGAAAAAAATACAAAAGTAAAAAAAATAAAAATAATAAGGAAAAAGAGAGCCAGAGAGTGTTGGATAATCGAGGGATAGAGAGAGAGGACAATCCATGAGCGAATATTGAATGAGTGGACAAATTGCTCTAAGCAGTATCAGTACACACGGTACCACAGGAATTGTGATTCCGTGCCCCAAAAACCAAACCTTCTCACTCCGGTCGTTTTTATCTCTCTCTCTCTACACTAGCTACACCTCGATTTGATCGTTCCTCTCTCTCTCTCTAACATTTTTCTTTTCTTTTCTTTTCTCTCTCTAGATGCCAGTAATGGCAGTGCACCAGTGGCAGTGTAAGAAAAGAGGGAGAGAGTTTTCATCGGGAAGGTAAAGCTTGCACCACAAAGGTGACTCTTTGTGAACTCTCTCACTCTTACTGCTACAACCGCGTGCACATCTGCAAATCTCTCTCCAACTTCCCTTGTAGAAATAGGGAAGATATATTTGTATATATGGAGAGAGAAAGTGTGTGTGTGTGTGTGTGTTAATACATGCTCTTAATGAGCAGAAAGATAAACACCCATTTCCAGAGGCAATCTGAACAGGCTTTCTCAGACAAACCAAGAGCAACAAAACCTTCATAAACTGACTACTACCACTACAACTATTTAGGATTTTTCTGTAAAAAGGCTGAAAGCTGAAGCATAAATCTCGGGAGAGCACTGCAGAGATAGAGAAAAGTGTGTTATTATTTGAGTGATACATATCTATATATTTCTCTATATATATATGTGTATGTAGAGAGATAGAGGGAGAAACAATCATCAAACAGATGGCTATGGTTAGGGTTGTATAAGAAAAAAGCTAGGGGGGGAACAAAGGAGTGAGAATATTAGCGTAGTATATTGTAGAGAGAGAAATTAAACAGGAGAGAGAGAGAGAGATAATGGAGTGTGGTGGTTCTAGTAGCACTTCATGTTTGATGGGGTTTGGGAGCAACAGTAATGGACTATGTCCTATGATGATGATGATGCCTCCAATGACTACCACTAATGTGGACAACAATACCCTACTTCTTCCTCTACCTCTACCTTCCAGCAGCAACAACAATCAAGGTCAAAACCGTCATAGTAGCTGCAGTACTGGTAATTCTTCTCTCATGCTTGATCAAGATCATCACCACCACCACCACGATAATCACATCAACAACAACACAAGCACAGGAGGAGGAGGAGGGTGTTATTTCATGGATAACAACAACGGCAATTCATCCCCTTCTGTCAAGTCTAAGATCATTGCTCATCCTCTTTATCACCGTCTCTTGGCCTCCTATGTCAATTGCCAAAAGGTGAACCAGTCAAAATCCTAACAATCCCAAACCCTACTCTCTCTAGCTCTCTCTGTGTGTTTGTGTGTGTGCACTCAAGCTCCCATAATTTGTGCCTCTCCCTAGCGAAAGATGGACAAATTCAGACACCCTTTTCTCTTTTCCTTTTAAAAATTGTTTTTGATGATGAAATATGCATATAGACACAGAAATATGTAATGGGTAGCAAGTAAATATATGCATCTCTCTCTGTAATCTCTGTGTGTGAGAGAGGGAGAGAGCTTTCATTTACTGTTTCTTTAACTTTGCTAGGATTAACCCTCAAGGAAAAAAGTTTAGAACACAAAACGATTCTGACTAGATAGTGACAGTAGTCTTAGTTTTGGTACTTCATGGAAATTATTTTCTACTAATTAATACTGATGACATATAGTGAACTATGTGTGTGTGTGTATACGTGTATTATACGCAGATAGGAGCTCCACCTGAAGTGGTGGCAAGACTGGAGGAAGCCTGCGGGTCTGCCGCGGCGATGGGCCGAACGGCAGGGTCCGGCAGTTTCGGGGAAGATCCGGCGCTTGATCAATTCATGGAGGCCTACTGTGAGATGCTGACAAAGTATGAGCAAGAACTCTCCAAACCCTTCAAAGAAGCCATGCTTTTCCTCTCAAGGATTGAGTGCCAGTTCAAAGCCCTCACACTAGCTTCCTCTGATTCTGGTGATCATCACCTTCTCTCTCACTAAATGCTTCTGATTTGTTTATTGTTTGAATATGTTTGTTTCATGGTAATAATAGCCAGATATAATTATTCATTTATGTGTATGTTTCCAAGAACATAAAGATTTAATTAAGCCACAACTAAAAAGGAAAAGGGTTATAATTATTTAACAACTGGGTGCTTAGATTTTGTCCATTTCTTTAATCTATGTCTCTCTCCATGCCACTTAATTTTTTTTTTTTTTCTTTTTTTCTGCTATATATCTCTATATATGTACTCCTATTTGCTTAGTTTGTTTTTTTTTTCCTAATGCTTGTATACTTGTGGAACTGTTTTAGGGCTAGGGTATTAATTCAATTGATGTTCTATCATATGGATGAACAGTGATGTCCCTAGCTTTGATCTGTTCTTGATGTTTGTTTCTTGAACTCGGCTTATTCCTTTGCTTTACATTCTTGATTCTTCATCTGGTGTTTTGGAACTTTGGTAGGTACTGACACATTTTTTTGCAGCTTTTATTATTCAAAGAGAATGGCTTTTGTCATTCTTTTTTCCTCTTAATCTGTTGTTGATCAAGCTTGATGATCTCGATTCTTCGCATGCTTCATAATCTGTATCGGTGTTATATATAGTGCAATTTATGCTTAAGCTTTATCGCAATTCATCTTTGATCTTTTATATGATTATTTCAGGTATTTTGTTTATGGTGCTAAGCTGCCAAATTTATTTAATGCTTAAAGCTTTATACAAACCATGCCATGTTATTTTTTACAGTTAATGATTTAAATGTATCTGATAAGCACTAAACCTATAGGTTTAATTGAATTGTCTTCCAAACTAGGGTTTGCAGCTGGAGACTATAGGAAGACAATAGGGTTTAAATATATATTCCACTGAAACAGGTTCAATTGGTTTTTAAAGATGCATGAACATAGAAATATGTGCCCAGTATAAAATTGTGTCATTTTTTATATAACCAAAGGGCTGTTATATATATATATATATATATATCACCAAAGGGCTAATAAATTCTCATTTTGATGTGATTGAAAAACACCATGGACTCTTTTTAATATCCATGAGTTGTACACTCATTACTCCATGTGTGGGGTTCAACATGTTCCTATAATTCTACTTGCCATTATTTTTGGTTTCGTCCGTTCATACTTATGTGGATGTTTTATCTTCAATGTGGGTCACTAAAATTCAATAGACATTGTAAATTCGATTTAAAATCAGTCAACTGGGTATCTCTTCCAATTTTTCTTGGCTTCTTTCTCTTCTATGATCAAAAAATGTGGTTAACTTTTCTAAGCTGCATGTGCTACTCATCTTTTACATGCTCAGTGAATGATCTTAATGATTCCTCTACTGAGTATATACGTACTGGCTAGTTTTACCATTTTATCTCTCGAACTTGTCTCTAAACACTCCACCTCCTAAATAAAAATGAAATTTCTGAGAATTTCTTGTATTCAGACATTTATATTTTTGTGACGCACGCTGGCTAGTTTGAGGATTTCTTGTATTCAATCACGCATTTAGATTTTGTGATGCATCCCGGGTAAAAATGAACTGGTAATGGCTAATAATTTGTAGTGGTTAGTATGTGTAGGGTCTATTATTGACATTTACTACAGCGAATGAACTGTATGAAGGTCAATCACGTAATCTTGTAAGTTGCAAATTTTTTTTTTTAGTTAAAGGGTAAGCTTGTACATAATGGAAAAGAATGTACAAGGCAGTCCTAAAAAAATAGGAACAACAAACTGCACAAGGCAGCAGCAAAACCCAAGCCAGATACTAAGGCAAGGGGCCAAACTTGGCCAACATACTAAGGCTACACCATACAAAGCAAGTGACAGTCCACAGCAAGAGACAGTCCACAGCATACAAATGTTATTTACTGGTTTATATTGACTTTGTGCATCCTTCTCTTTTTATGTTGTTATTTCACTAGAGTGTCATTGTTAGAGGTTAATGTGATTACTAAAGATTTTCTCACCATCTTCATTAATTTGGAAGCAGTCTGCAAGCTTTTACCACATTATCATTCATGAATAGAGGCACACCATCTTTATTTACTGTCTTTGTGCTTGTGTGATTTGATTTATTTGTTGTTATGAAAAGGGCAGTCTTCATAATAAACCTCAATCTTTTTGGAGTTCAAGAGATCGATTGTTAGGTTGGCGAAAAAGCAAGTCATGAAGTCAGGCTCCTACTCGCAGATCAAGCAGCACTTTACAAATGTTTAAATTGGTTTCAACAATCAATTGGTACACTAGTAACTTCAAAAAATACTCAACTTGGAAGCTGTTTTTCCTTTTTCCTTCTCTTTTTCTTTTCTTCATGCATTTATTATTCCATATGTAGAGCATTTTCAACCCCTCTATTGGATGCAAGCAATTCGAGAACATGCATGTCTTCAATAGTTTTAAGCCAAGATTGTTTCTTTTGTGATAGCTAGCACTCTTTAGTTAATTTTTTTTTTTTTTTTCTTCTTCATAAATATAACTTTATTATATTGCCAAAATTTTATAACTGGTTCAGAGTTTCATGTAGCGTTGAAGGGTTATCATCAACTGGCAGGCAGTACATAGTGTCAATAACTAGCCTATTATTGCCATATTCTTCACTGTGAAAATGTGATCATATAGCCGGTCAATAAATTCAAAAAAGCTAAATATTCACCTATAAAGAAACCTCTAGTCAGTTTAATTAACAGGGTGTCAATGGACTGTTAGAAATTACTTAGGCGGATTGAAACTGTTCATTTCATCCTTGTAGGCTTGAGAAAGAGCCTATATAAGCCATGAAGCAGGGCTTATGGACATCGGGCCTTTAATTTAGGACTCGGAAACTCAAAAAAGACACCTTCAGGTAAAGTTGGAAAATCTAGGATTGTATACTCAATGTTGGAAGTCAAGATACTCGCTCAACTAACATCTACATGATATTAGTGGGCTGCTGTAATTAATATATTAAGGGTTAAGACTGAAGAGAAACTTGGTTAGATTATAGGTTCACATTTTGTTTTATAAGGGGTAAAAGAGAAGGAAAAAGAGGAAGACTACATCAAATAATAAATTGACATTTATTGAAAATCAATCTACATACTTAGCTTCTTATAATTTGACCTTTTTGTGAAATTCCCTTGGATGAATATCAGACTTATCTTAATGGAAGTTTCAGAACCTGCTTTTAGTTCTTGAGGTTTTGGTGAATTTTTGGTGAAGTGGCCTCCACTAGAGGCTTATTGATCTCTACATCCCATTCTTCTGATGTCCTAGACATGGAATTTTTGATAACTTATAATGATGTTATCGACCTTTTTGCATGAACTATCTATATAAAATGTACATATATATAAATATTTGTGTCCTTAGCTGGTCCTTCGGATGAATTTTGTTTACTATGCTTGATTACTTGGCATAAGTCTTCCAAAGTGCCATTAGGGGATGGTATGCCTTTACGATAAGTCCTACTTGTTCTTGAAGCTTGCCAACCTATACCATCCGTTCTTATGATTCCAAAAATGGGAGGAGCATTTCTTATTTCAAATGATGTTTCTGTCCAAGTGACTTTTGCTTTGAATTGTCTGTCCGTAGTAAATATATGATGTATAGATATTATTTGCATGGTTAGTTACTATTTGTGAAACATGTGTATTGTGTTCAATTACATGGATCTTTCATGATATCTATAAGCCTCCAGGAACACTATATTGATGGATAGTGTATTGTGAAGCATGAGGAATATTATATTTGATGATTAGTGTCTTCCATAGTTCCCTTGTTCTACTTGAAAAACTATAGGTATTTGTTCTGAAACTTACATATTACAAGTACGTTCTTCTGTTTTGGAGTAGAAGAAATGGATTAGAGGTTTGGAAAGTAATTTGTTGAAATTAATTACATTTCATATTCACCTCTTCCCCTAAATAAAGAATAAAGGGATGGTAAAATATTAATCGGTTCATTCCTTCCTCCTCAAAATAATCACGTTGAGTTCAACTTTAGTGGCCTGTGAAGTAAACAAGATGGTACAGCAAAGTTTGATTTGATGATCTGCGGGATCTATTTTTTTCCTACTATAAAAGTTCATAAACTTTTGTAATACATAATGCTAAAATTTAGTTTGTTGTGATATCCAATCGTTAAACTATGACAGAAGCACGTGTAACACTAATTTTAGCTACTTATTCCGGAAACTCATTTTCACATTGAAGTGCTTACTATTTCCTGTTATAATCAGCTTGTGGTGATGAATTAGATAGAACTGAATCACCCGAGGAAGAGGCTGACATGAATAACAATATGATTGATCCTCAAGCAGAAGATAAGGAATTGAAAGGTCAGCTTTTGCGCAAGTACAGCGGATATTTAGGCAGTCTCAAGCAGGAGTTCATGAAGAAGCGAAAGAAAGGAAAGCTGCCTAAAGAAGCCAGGCAACAATTGCTGGATTGGTGGAGCAGACATTACAAATGGCCCTACCCATCGGTATCTATCTTTGCTCCTTAGATGATGGATTCATAGTAATATAAGAAGTTTATGACTCTTGACTCTTGATTTTTTAATTGCATTTCCCTATCTCTTATCTTCTTCCGTTCTTGCCTCTTGTATTGACTTAGCCTGTTAGTTGTAGATGACTTAATAACAATCTATGATGCAGTGCCCAGCGATAATTTATCCCGGTCCTGCTGTTGGTTACTTTTCAGGGAAATTAGGGGATCCTCTTCTAGCATTTTATCATATGGCACACAAACACTAGTTCGTGACATGACAATGTGTTTGTTGTTCAATAAATGCTAGAATAACAATTTTAGAGAAAAAGATTCAATCCCTTTCTCCTAATACCCAGTTGAATGTCAAGGCATTGTGTTAATTGATACACTTGTACGAATGTATTCAAACTTCATTTTCTGCTTGACACATCTTTTTAGTGCTTCTATGTGGTTTATAGCTTGTTTTTCATTCTCTATGCAAATATCAACAGAATTAATGGTTTTAGTAACTAGTAACATTTCGTGTCTCCACAGGAATCACAGAAGCTGGCATTAGCGGAATCCACTGGGCTGGATCAGAAGCAAATCAACAACTGGTTCATAAATCAAAGAAAGCGACACTGGAAGCCTTCTGAGGATATGCAGTTTATGGGGATGGATGTTACACATCCTCACTATTACATGGATAATTTTATGGGCGATCCTTTTCCTATGGATATCTCGCCTGCACTCCTCTGAAGTTGCCGGTGATGTCCAACTAAGTTCTTGAACTCCTATCTTTTATGTGTACTACTTGTATGCATGCACTTTCTTTATGTTGTTAAACTGAGACTTTTAATTAGTCCTTAATTCGTTAGATTGTCACGATCTTAGAGTCTTGTATTTGAGATTGTTGTTGCTTAATTAAGCTCGAGTTCGAGTAGGTTTCATTTTTTTTCCCCAATAAATAAAACTTAAAAAGGGCAAAAACACAAGAGACCCTAGAAGGGCCAGAGCTCAAACAAAGCCTACTGTGGTAACTAGAAGTTATTAGTTGTGTAAGGTGATGGAAGACTACACAGCAGCCATTTCTCTAACCCATTTCACATTTCTGTCCTTGTCTGCCATAAGCCTACGTCTAAAGGAATCAAGCACTTCTTCTTCTTCTTTTCTTTCTTTTTTTATTTTTTTATTTTATCACTTGGAAGGAGAAGAATAATTTTTTAATATTCTCTGTGTTTTTTTGTGTTGTGCTGCATTAGATGGATCCCAGCTCATACACGTGTGAGGTGAACTGTTTGGAGAGTTGGTGAGAACGAGTAGTGGTTTATCTCTAGTTTGGAGAATTTTTTGGGATAGCATCATAGCAAGCCAAATAGTGAAACATTGCCTTGGAATGGATGGATCAACACAAATGAGGGGTGAATTAAATGTGTGGAATGGAAAAGGAGTTAGAAGGAGAAGCAATTCTGGAGTACATGAGGTAAGACCGTGTACATATGATCCTCTCTAGACACTGCAATGACGAGAGCCTCGTACACTAAGCCGTGAATGGTCGGTGTTGGTGCCATTGGTAAAACCAAAAACTTGTGGCACCTCCATTACATACTTGCATTCTGATAAACTGTTCTAGCTAAAGGTCTTTTAGCTTTAGGATGTTTCTCCAACTCCATGAGCTATCAGATGGAATCTTGATATCCCACAAGCTTTCTTTTTCTCAGAAGGTGAATTCTGACCCATCTAACCTAAAGACAGTTGTTTGAGTTGTCAATCAGATATTCCAAATGATTCTTACCACAGCAACTTGGTTCCTTGTGTTCAGGTAAAATGAACACTAGACCACCCTCCTCAATAGGCTTAATTGCCAAAACTGTGCCAAGCCACTATGGCTGCAGTTTCATTTCAAAGGAATCTCCTCATAACGAGTGTATCTCATATTGGTTGTTGTTATAAGGGGTACTTGTGTCCTACATCGAATTCGGCTGGGAAGTGAAATGGGTATAAATAAGTGAGTATGCAGTACTACCTAAAGTAAATAAGTAAGCGTCTCCTTATCCTTAGAAATTTAAATTCATAAACTAGAATGTTATTCTCTTAATCTAGAAAAAAAATAATAATAATAATAATAATAATAAAAAAAATCTTCTAATTTTTGGACATTTTATTCAAGTATTATTGGGAAGAAAAATACATGTTTTGAAAAGAAAATTAAATTAATTATTTTTCCATTTTACTTGAACTTCTAAATCATTGGTGTATAAAAAAAAAAAATCAAAACTCTACTGCCGGGATTTGCCAAAGTGCTACAGTGGATTTTGTCGTTTCATTTAACAGTTTTAGTTATGACCAAAAATTCAACTTTGGGCAAGGCCCACACAAGCCCATTATGGAATTTCGGTGCTTGAAATCGTATGGCTGATTTCTATTGGGCCTGAATATGAAAAATAATAAAAAATTATTCCACTGCCAGGATTTGAACCCGGATTCTTTTCACCACAAGAATTGCCAAAGTGCTACAGTGGATTTTTTTGTGATGTTGATGGAATTAATTTTACTTATCACCATTAATATTCAACTTCGGCCTGTAATTTTTGTGTACCACTTACTTCTATGCATGAACTGGCTTTCTGATGTTACTTTTAATTCGGTATATTGTCTCGATCTTTGGAGTGTTGTATTTGGGATTGTTGTTGCTTAATTAAGCTTGAGCTCAAGTAGATCTAGGGCAAAAGAACTAGAGGGCCTAAAAAGGCTACACACATTCTGCAAATGAAACAAGTAGTGCATGAACACAATTTGAACTAGTTTGTGTTTCAATTTCAAATTGGCTAAACGAGCCAAACAAGTCAAGTTCGAGATTGAACCGAATTTGAATACATATTTGTGTTTGAATTGGATTTGAAGTCAAAATGTAGATCGACTTGCATTTTGTAATTGGAGTAATGTTATATGTATAAGAGTAATGATATTTATATGAATGAGTTAGGCAGAATTGTTAGGCTTACTAAATTTGATTGGTCATTAATGCATTAAATAAAGAAATGGATTATTTCCTTGAGTTTTATTATCTGTTTTCGATCAACCAATTTGAAAAAAAAAAAAAAAAACTTGTGAAGATGTTTTGTTTGGATTTTCATTATTAATAATTAATATTATTAAATAAAAAACACTTTTGCCCTCAACTTTTATTTACTCAAGCTTCAATTATAATATTTAAAAACATAAATAATACCGAATATTGTACTGTAGTGACATTTTTTCTCTTTTCAAATTCAAAAGTACTCATCCCAACATGTGAGTTTCTTATTAATTCAATAAATAAATACATAATTTTAAATAATAAATAAATAAATAAATAAGACATGAAAAACACAAAGTACTCATCCCAACATGTGAGTTTCTTATCAATTCAATAAATAAATACATAATTTTAAATAATAAATAAATACATAAGACATGAAAAACACAAAAACATTCATTCCACTGCCAGGAATTGAACTTGGATAACACAAGAATTGCCAAGGTGCTACAGTTGATTTTGTTGACAATTAAATGAAATTAATTTTATTTAATAACTATTGAACTTTGGGCAAGGCCCGCAACAGCCCATTACGAAATACCACGGCTTGAAATTTTATTGCTGATTTCTACTGGGCCTAGAACATATAAAAATAAAAAAAAAATCATTCCACTGCCGGGATTTGAACCCGGATTCTTTACAACACAAGAATTGCCAAGGTGCTACAGTGGATTTTATTGTCTAAAGAAAGAAATTAATTTTATTTAACATGTTTTACTTATCACGATTAATGTTAAACTGATACTTTTAACTAGTGCTTAATTGGTTAGATTGTCTCGATCTTGGAGTCTTGCATTTGAGATTGTTGCTGCTTAATTATGCTAGAGTTCGAGTACATTTTTTTCCTTCCATAAATAAATTTTATTTATTGAATGGGCAAAAGAACAAGAGAACATAGAAGGTTACACATTCAGTAAATCAGAGACAACAAAAAAGAGTAATAACTAACAAGCCTTAAAGCCTAAGCACCGGAATTTCCCCAATAATGAACAAACTCGGTGCATGTAAGCAAAGTTTCGTGCACTGAATTTGTCTTTTTATGATGCCATGAATGGTCGACTTTGGCGGAGCCAGTAGGCCAGGTGCCATTGATCAAACCAAAAACTGGTACTACCTCCATTACCTACTTGTATTCTGATAAACTGATCAAGCTAAAGGTCTTAGGTTTAGGATGTTTCTACAACTCATCTGACCCAATGGGAGTTGTTTGAGTTGTCAATCAGATTCCAAATGTTTCTTGTCACACCAACTTGGTTTAATGTGCTTGGATTTTAACTTCCAAATTTTAGATCAAAGTTTCGAGATGGATAAAGAGATGAAACAAAAAATAAATAAAAGAATCTCTTGGTAATTAAGTAGATTCCACATTGACAGTACATAAGTGAAAATTTAGAAATATACATTTCATAAACTGTAATGAATGTTATTCACTTACTGTTATAAGCTTTTTGAGAATTAGATATATTCTTTTTTGAAAAAAAATAAAATAAATAAGAAAGAAAGAAGATAGAATATTTATTCTAAAGTTTTGATTTTATTTGTGGTAAGAAAAACACAGATGTTGAAAAGAAAATTAAATAACTTCTAAATTTCAGGTATATATTGAGCCAAATATTTTTATTTGTCATTATGACCGTTTACCCGCTAAGGTACTGATTAATTAAAATAAAAATGTTGATATTTGTATTGCACTTTTTAACAAATGCATATTATGTATTTATTTAAAAAGAAAAATGACATTATTGTCTTTAAATTTATAATTGAGAGTAGGGACACTTTTCTTTTTCTTTTTTATAAAAAATAATAATAATAATAATAATAAATAATTGAGTGACCTCCTCAGTACAATAGTCAATAAAATTTGTGGCCTCAATTTTAGTTCTTGTCAGTACCCTATTTGCCCGATTAGTTGGCCCATTATTGGTCTTTGAAGCCCAAAATTTTAAGACTATCCTCGACTTGAATGGAGAAAACTAGTGGGGAATACTCCGCAGCATATTAGCATGTATATATATATATATGTGTGTGTGTGTGTGGTTCATATCGGCAGTTTATTAGAGAATGCATGATCATTTAAGTGTTTGTAGATTTGTGAATATGACTCGTTTATTTGAGCATTTTTTAGTTTTTCACTAATTTTTGCTGGTAACAAAATGTGTGTACACTTAGCTATAATTCTCCGGAATCACATGACCACCTCTTCTTTAGTTGCCCCTTCATTTCACCAATATGGAGGTATATCAAGGATAAATGCCACTTCTCAACTGCAATTACAAACTAGAGCAACTTGGTTATGCTCACCAGCCACATGTGGAAGTCCAACTCACCACAAAACACGGTAAGGAAAATTTGCCTATCCTCGGTAGTTTACCACACTTGGGAAGAACGAAATAGTAGAATTTTCAAGAAAAAAGAATTGTTCACAGAGAGTGGTCCTCGCTAAGAGTAACTCCTCTGTCACTTCAATTCTTCGACTTGCTTTCCTTAGGCTATGTTTGGTAGGGTGGATTTGAAGGGGAATGATAACAGTAATTATGAGGGAAAGGGAAGGAAAGGAAAGGGAATGATAATTTTAATTTGGTATTGTATTTGGTTGATTAATGAAGGAAAATAAAGGGAAAGATAATAATCATATTTGGGGAAAGAAAGGGAAGGATATGAAGGAGAATTATTTTAATAAATTTACTATTATGCCCTTTTATATTTTAAAATATAAATTTATATATATATATATATATATATATATATATATATATATTTGTCTTGTAGGAAAAATTTTTTTAGGGCAAATCATTTCAGCCACCATTTTTTTAGGGCAAATCAACCCATTTATCTATTCTCGTTCCAAACGCTGAACTTCTCTCTCTCTCTCTCTGTGCAACTACAAACTATTGCAAGAATCAGAAGTTCAAAACCCATATATTTCAGTTTATATATTTGTCTGTAAGAATCAAAACTTCAAAATCCATATCGGCATCATTTCAGATTGTTCAAAAAATCAAAACCCAATTTCAGATTGTTTAAAAAATCAAAACCCATATCAGATTGTTCAAAAAATCAAAACCCATATCAGTTTCCATCGCCCGTTGTTCCAATTCAGGTTTGCCGTTCGTAAGCAAGCTTCGCCGTTCTCAACTCTCAAGCTTGCCCTCCTCTCTTTCTGCAACTGCTAAATCAACTAATCAAGGGCAAGATATGCATCTGAAATCACACACCAAGCCTCTCCTTCCCTTTCCCTTCATTTCCTCCCATTTTTGGGAGGTTAAGAAATTTACTGTTGAAGGCACAAGTTAACCCTCCAAACCCATCCCTTCCCTTTCCTTCCAATTTTTGCCAAACACAAATTTTTAATCCCCTTCCATTACTTTCCTTTCCCTTCCCTTTCTTCCCATTTCCACTCTACTAAACTGACCCTTAGAGATTCAGCTGCTTCAAGGAGAATTCTACTTGAATGGAATCTTCCTCCATCATGCTAAAGACCCCCTCCTCGTCCGCCGGATTAACAAGCTGTGAAGTTGCACTGCTTAATTTGGATACCGGATTATGGTTCTAATGAGCTTAACTAACAGTTATTAACAACTATTGTTCCTCATCTGTGTTATTCGGTTGGGTTTGTGCCCTATGTTTGCCTTTTGGGCATATTTTGCGTAGTGGGCTTTTACTTAAAGTCATGAATTGGGCTAAGATCCTAACTTTGTACATATTTATCTTTATATATATCAGTTGCTTTATTCTTCGAAAAAAAGATTAACTAATAGTGCATATATTAATTATTTTCCTGAGTTTTATGATTTAGGTTCCATCATAAAACAATTTAACACTTAAACGTGTAGTTACTCACACTTGATGATAATATTTTAAAATGTAAAATGATATTAAATACTGTAGTTCAATGGTATTTTTTATTTTTTAAAATAGAGGTTCTAAAAGTTTTTCGTGTTTTTTTTACTTTTGTTAATATATTGTAGTGAAACAAAAACATAAAGCATCTTTGATAACGTTTGTTGTCATTTGAATAGTATTGAAATACTTCCGAAAAAAGAGACAAAAATCGAAAACACACAAATGATGCTTTGATTACTTCTGCACCGTAACAAAAGCACTATAAAAAATAAACAAAAAAAAAAAAAATCTAAAAATAACAATTTTAACTAACTATTTAATTTTTCAAACTTACAACGCTTTTTATAAAATATGCTATAATATAAGATTATTATTAATTAAAAAATAAACAAAAAACATAATTATGATTGACACCTAATTACAATATTTATAAAACATGCTTTAATATAAGATTTTTATTAATTAAAAAATAAAAAACATAATTATGATTGACACCTAATTACAATATTTTAAATAAAAAGACATAATTGCTTTATATATATATATGTATATATCTGTGTGATGGGGGTGTGGGGGTAAATAAAATGAATCATATACGGATTCATTGAATAAAATTCTCACACTCCACAAAGCCACTAGTGTACAAGTCTCGAGTCTTCAAAACCAGGGTTCTGTCTTCTTCTCCCCTAAATCTAGGGTTTTTAAACAACTATTTTTTTCAGAGTCGATTGACATACCTCGAAAACCAGCTAGCAATCCCGAACAATTCACCTAGATTTACGATTCGTCCGCCAAAATACACTCCAAATTCTATACATATATCGGTTTTTATCTCTATAGTTCTCTGAAATTTGTTCGCATTTGCGCCATAGCAAAAACTCAACATCTGTGTCAATGGCCAAGACGAGACCAGGAAAAAGAGACATGGACTCTTACACCATCAGAGGCACCAACAAAGTCGTCAGAGGTAATATATATACATGCATATACATATAATCGTCAGAGGTAATATATACATGCATATACACCTAAGTTTATATCCATCTATATACATACATTTCTAGTGATGATATATATATATATATATATTTAATGTTGTTTTGTAGCTGGAAATTTGTGTTGCTGTGGCATGTATATATGCATATATGCTTATAAAAAATACATGGATTTATTTATTTAGGAAAAAAAATATGGTTTTAGTGATTGAATGCCGCTTTTCATTGTTCTGGTGTGCTTTTTGATTTTGGATGTGGGTTTTAGCTGGAAATTTGTGTTGCTGTGATTTTTCATGCTTATTAAAACACATGCATATAAACATAAGTTTACATCTACCTATATACATACATTTTCAGTGGTAGTTTTATTAAATTATTTATTTTTTACAATTTTTTATGTGGTTTTGAAGTTGGAAATATGTGTTCCTGTTACATACATATATGCTTATAAAAAGACATGTTTTCAGTGATTGAATGTTACTTTCGATTGTTCAGGTGTGCTTTTGATTTTTGGTGTGGTTTTTAGCTGGAAATTTGTACCTGTTTTGATGATTGAATGTCGGGTTTGATTGTTTTGATGTGTTTCTGAAGCTGGGGATTGTGTGTTGATGCGACCATCGGACACCAATACGGCACCTTATGTGGCGCTTGTGGAGAGGATTGAAGCAGATATTCGGAACAACGTGAAGGTCAGGGTGAGGTGGTACTATCGGCCGGAGGAGTCTATGGGAGGGCGGAGACAGTTCCATGGAGCAAAAGAGTTGTTCTTGTCGGACCACCATGATGTTCAGAGTGCTCACACTATTGAAGGCAAGTGCACTGTTCACACTTTCAAGAACTATACTAAGCTTGAAAATGTTGGTGCTGAAGATTACTATTGTCGTTTTGAGTATAAAGCTGCTACAGGAGCATTCACACCAGACCGTGTTGCAGTGTGAGTTTGTGTTTTATCAATTTGGTCCTTACCTGAAGTTCAGTTAATTTTATTTGTGGATAAGATGATGATTCTGGGTGTTGTTTTGAAGGTATTGCAAATGTGAAATGCCTTATAATCCGGATGATTTGATGGTACAATGTGAGGGATGCAAGGACTGGTATATATTTTTTTTTCAGTTGTTGATTATTATTTTGAGTCCTTCCAGTTTATGTTAAAAAAAAGTTGTTTGCGTAGCCTTTTGTTTGGTTGTTGGGGAAATGGAGGAAAAGAGAAGAAATTGTTATGGCTTGCGTTTTAGTTGTTTTGAAGTATGAAAGATGAGGAAATCTATCAACTAAGCCTATAAGTGTAATGAGGCTCAGTTTATTGGTGTTACAGTTTTCTTCGTTTTCTGACCATATATCTTCTTTTCTTTTCCTATGTCTCTGCAATCAAAGGAATGTTGAATGAAGATTGTCTGGAAAACCTTATTTTGTTGATAGTAATTACTTAGGAATTTCCATTCAAAGTGTAAACATGAACAAGATGGACTTCAGAAAGAGGTAAAAACTGAAGAGTTCACTTCCAGCCACTGTAATGCCCAAAATGGATTACATGAAAGCAAGGAATTCAAAGCTAATTCCTTGATTACAAGCAATATGAACCACTTAATGTTCAAGGACAAAAAGGAATACCTATAATTCGCAAAACAACTTAAGTAGTCTAAACATCTCCTGGCTTGTAGATTGATGGACTTCCATCTGCTGCTACATCTTCTTTAACCTTCATAAGTATGCTGATTTTTTCGAGTTGTTTATTCTGTTTTTTCTAGTTTTTTTTTGGTTTGTACTTTAGCACATGTATATAATATAATTCAGAGGATTGCTTACATTTGTTAAGCTTTGGGCGTTTTGCTGGTGGAAACAAGAGCATTTTGGTGCCTGAATAACTCAGTTTCTAGTGAAAATGATAAAATCTCTATATAATGTTATTGTTGTTGTTCATTTAGATTTAAGCCTTCAAGTGTGCCTCACCTTGGATGCAGCAATTTACAAATGTGGACTTCAGAGTGACTTGCTTAAATGTCTGCATTATGGTATGTAATGTGTTGCTACCGTGGTACTTGTAGGTATCATCCTGCTTGTGTGGACATGACTATTGAACACGCAAAAAAGTTGGAACGCTTTATGTGTGCAGACTGTGAATATGATGATACCAAAAAATCCCAGGACACCTTTCCTGCATCAGCAATGGCTAATGGGAAGGTGAGACTACTCATTGGCTTGCTTCCAATCATTAAAGTTGCATGTGTTCTGTCCTTGTTTGTGTCATTCAATCTGTCTGTCATGACTCACATAATAAAATGATTTACTTGTTTAAAGGGCTGATCTGTAGTTGCAAAGGTTAGACTACTCATGAGCATGCTTCCAATCATTAAAGTTGCATGTTTTCTGTCCTTGTTTGCCTCATTCAATCTGTCTGTCATGACTCACATAATATATTGATTTACTTGTTTTAAGGGCTAATCTGTAGGTGCAACATTGGAGGATAACAAATATGAAAAATAGTGACATGAATAAATTTTTTTCTGGGCAAAATTGTGGTTAAGCACACATGCACTTCAGATGGAAAATTGTTTGCAGCTAATGCTATGAGTAAACGTTTTTGTTTAGTGAAGGAAAGATTAATTGATGCATTTTCTTTACATTACAGAAGGAGTTTGCTACCCTGGAAGAATACACATGAGCCACTATCAAGATGTGAGCTATTTAATTTGTATTATAATTAGAGATTTATGTAGTTGTAACACATTAATAATGGTAATAGCTTAGAAGGTAAGTTGGTGAAAACATTAGTTCAAAAGAAACTTATGTGTTACTTACCAATAGAAGGAAAAAGGAAATCATGTGTTCACTTATTGAGTCATGGATAATATGGGATCTTTGTGGGGGCATTGATTGAACATTCACACAAAATTTAAGTAAAATATGTAGCATCATTTTGAGCTTCATAATATTGCTGTACATATGATATATTTTTGCATCCACGGGCAAATTGGTTGCAATGGAGAAACTGGTTTTGAATCATTTTTTATCTTGACAACGTTCACACTTCATAGTTCATTATCATCATCCCTGCCTTATTCCCATATGAATGGGGTCAGCCACATCAATTCTCTGTCTCCATTCCTTTCTATTGGTGTTCACACGTCACAGTTGGTTGTTATAATTGGCGTGACTGTCTGCATTTCCAATTTTAATTGCCGATTCTGACCCCATAAAGTAGAATATGTTGCTCTTACTCTGCCTTGGAGAACTTGGGTTTGCAATATCTTTCTCTGGAGCATATCCTTGGGAACATCATGTTAACTCATTCTTGACCACATCCCAATTATTTCTATATTTATTTATTTTGCTAAGTTTATCATTTCCCTATTATCATCTAATACGCTTCTTGTTTTACACTTTGGAAAACATTGTTCATGTATAGTCCTTTTACATGACAATAAAAAGGTTTTCGTTCTTATTTACCCGTGTGGCTGAAGCTTTAAAAATTATTTACGATATTTTTAGAAACTGACCACAGACTCTTATTTTTATGTACATCAAGTAAAGCAAATCAATTTTATGTTAGTGTACTTGTACAAGTAGGGTTGAAAAAAATGGAGATAAATCATGCACGTATACATGTATATGAATTTGTATAATAAGCACAGTGTGTTTATATATGCATTGATTACATGTGTGTGTGTACATGTTACTAGTAAAAAGAAAAAAAACAAACGGATCATTAATTTTTCCATTTAGACTTTCAAACATTTGAGAAATGCATTATTTTGAGTCTAGTATGATTTTATAAAAATAATCTATTTTTCCAAGAGCTGTTTTTACTGGAGTCATAGTGTGGTACATTTGTTGGATGAGTAACGCTACATGTAGGGTTGGAAAAAAACGGAGATGTCATTGTATACAACCATCTGTTAGAAATAATCTGTTGTTGGCGCTCGAAACTTCATAGTCTAGTATGATTTTATAAAAATAATCTGTTGTTGGCGCTCGAGACGTCATTGTATGCATTATTTAAGAGTTTGTAGCTGTTTATAAATTTTGATACTGTGTTAGAAATGCTAATAAATAGGGATTATTCCTCTGTTGTTGGTTGAATTGTATCAGGGGCGACAAATTGATATGCTTACACAAGAATTTAACTTCAAATCAACATCCCAAAAGAACTTTATATTCTAAAATATGTTTGGAAGATGAATGTTTTGCTGTAAGAACAACAAATGTATGATTACAAGTTTGCATTATAGGGTAAAACTAGGAGTGGAGGGTGCAATTTTGGAGGCCTGAAAATTTGGAAGCATTTTGTTTGGGAGTTGAATACTTTCTTAATAAACATCTGAGAGTACTCTGCAGCTTTTACCCGGATGCTTTTTACAGGAGGATACTCACTCCATTTCTCTGAATTAAATTGTTGTTGATGTCATTTTGGAATTTCTAGTTCTTTTACTAATTTTTTTTTTTTCTTTTTTTCATGATTAGTTATTTTACTAATTTATGTGACTGAAATTGAGCATGTTATGATGTAATCACCCTTTGTTCCTTTATTTACGAAGTAAAGATCTTAATGTGATTATAATTGCTACTTGTCATTTTAGAGTGCCTAAATCTTCTGTCTATTGTATTTTTACTTTGATCCCTTTTTTTTTTTCCCTCTCTCTGAATTATTGTATCAGAATCGGTGCTTAAGATATCCGTCAGAAGGTCAAAACTTGTTGGTGAGCAACATCATCTAAATATGAAATGTAATTTGTATGCTACACAAATTTGTTAATGGCTAATTTGAAAGGTTGTTAATGTTCTCTTTTTTTGTTCTTATTTTGCCAATGTCCTATTATTGAATAATTGTCTGGCTGTTATGCGACCCTAAACTGAGAGGACCAGGTTGTTAAATTTCTCTTATTTTCTTCTTATTTTGGATCTCCTTTGATTGAATAATTGTCTGGCTGTGATGTGACCCTAAACCGAGAGGATCTGTGTGTGTGTGTTTTTTTAACCTTTATAAATTCTAATTCTTTTGTATCTTGAGAAATTGATCTTATGTGATTACCATGAATGGTATAAGTTGTTCTCTACTATTCCAGATTTTTAGATTTACGCTGCAAATGAACCTTACAATGTCATAACTCTATAGATCTTTTTTATACAAGCATTGTCTTGTCTTGTCTTTACATGATATGTCTGTGTGTCACCACTGAACCTTACCTGCAAGATGTTGTAATTGTTGCTCTCATCATCTAGCTATTTAATATTTATTTTTGTAGCATCCCATTATTTATACTTCTGGGAGTGGCCTAATGCAGAGTAGTCAAAAACTCTCTCTTTCCGAACGTTCTATATTTTGTGTAGAGTTTCTGAGATCTTTCCCTCATATCTGAGTTCTCATTTCGGTCTCCAAGAGCAATTTAGTGGGTTAGCTCGCTTTATCCCTGTTTTTTAAGGTAGTTTTGGGCCTCAGTGAGACTAGAGTAAATCCTGTCAGAGCCGATATATTTAATAAATTGGTCTAGTCATTTTTTTTATGTGTCTATATGTTTTGATTAGCCTTAGAACCATATTGATTATAACTTCCTTTAATAACTGCATCTGGTAGCAAAATGTTTGCGTGTGTTTCTAATATGATGCTTCTTGATCAATAAAAGCTCCCTTCTTGTGCAGATGGAGCCCAAGCGGCAGAAGAGGTGAATTCATCTGGAGGCTCGCGCTGCATGAAGTGACATGACCATTAAACTCAGTGTTGATCTTTTGGGTGCTGTACAGTGCAGAATATTGTAATGGTTATCCGATCAGACTAAAGGCTGTTGGTAATTTGCATCTTGTCTTGATCTAAATTCGTGTTTTATGTATTTAGAAGATGACTTTGGTACATGTTCTGTGCAGTTGGACGATTCAGTAATTAAATCTCTAATTTAGGAAAAATGTTGGTTCTGAATTGTTAGTATTAACTATTAACATCTGCTAAAACCATGTATGATGCATCTCTTGGACTGCATTGTCGTTTTGTTCAAAAAGCAGTATGTTGGCTGAAAATCTAACTCTTTGTGCTCTTTTCTGCCATTGATGCCAATAAAATGGAAGTCCGACCGGCATATGGTAAGTTAACAAGCTCAAGCTTGTTACCAACAATTTTCATGGCGTCTAACATGACACCAAGCGGTTAGTTTTACTTGCTTTTTAATAAATGAAAACCTAAATTGTGTTGCTATGCAGGGATGGCTCTTTGTAATCGACTGTTACTGGTATTTGTGAGTACAATACAACTTTTTTTTGGTTTAATAAGTACAATACAACTTTTTTTTTCCCATCAGCAGCATTAAGTACAGGAACATTAATTTACCAGGATTGTGAATGGGGCTTTGGGAGAGACTAAATTGGTGGTTATATATATATATATATATATATATATATATTTATTGATGTATGTCTGATACTTTAGAATGGCACCTTTAGTGTAGGAGGCCCTTGACAAATGGCCCTCTCACATGCATGTATATATATAAATTAACCCCCAGTTGAATTTTCATGGGAAAATTTATATACAGGTTGTCTTTCGATTTCGTGTTTACTCGCACAGTCGTCCGTCTTGGCAAATACATCGGAAGTTGTGCCGCCAATGAAGCCCGCTGCTAGTAGTAGGCTACTAGCCACAAAAATCAGATTTTATAATTTGCCACACTTTACCAGAAAAAATAAAATAAAATAAAATTGTAGTAATTGACATGGAAATTGCCAGGGATAGTGTGCAACACAGTTTGATGATACTTTCAACCATTAGAGATAATTAACTGAGGTGGTTACATGCCATATGATTTGATGTATATTTATATCATTCACAACCATCTACTCTATTGTGATGTTGTGGCCCAAATCTTGAAAAGGTCACTTTAAAAAGAGAGTGAGCGGAGGGTTAGAAGACTCAAACTTATAATTTTATGTTTTTAATTTATTTTTTGCATAGTGAAATCTTTTATCAATATTTACATTAGTCATAGATTTTAATGAAAGATTTTCAATTCTTTTTTCTATTTTATATTTTTATTTTTATTATTATTTAGTGAAATCTTTTGTCAAATATTTATATTAGTCATAAATTTTGACCGAAGATTTCCAATTCTTTTTCTTTTTTATATGTATAGTGAGCGGGAGGGTTAGAAGACTCAAATTAGTAATTTTACGTACATAAATCTTTGTATTATGATTCTTGATATATTCTCTTGGTTCACCGCGTTTGGTACGTCGTTATGTCTGAAACCGTATGGGTACATGATATGGTGTGTATGCGCATGCGTCCTTAGTACTTGTGTCTGGATCGGTATGGGTATTAGTTAAAACATTCTCAACAATCAACTCCATGATATGTCTGGATCGGTATGGGTGTATATATCTAAAACATTCCACGATATTTTGTATGTCATTTTATATATATATAAACCCTCACTGGAAGTGTTCACTTCTCAATATCAAAAGCCATCTTTACTGTCATTACTTTTAAAGATGACTTGTAGGTTTGTTCTTGTGGTGCTTCTTGGTGCTCTTATTTGTAACACCTACGCTAGGAAGCTTGAAAGCTCAGGGGGATCTAGTGCTGCCGGAGATGGTGATGGAATCTTTGGACAGCCTGGTGTCGGGGCTAATATCGGTGGTGTAGCACTGCCTGGAATCGGCGGTGGACAGCCTGGTATCGGAGGTGGACTACCTGGAATCGGTGGTGTACCACTGCCACTGCCTGGAATCGGTGGTGTACCACTGCCGCCTTGAGTGAGCTAGGAAAGAAGCTGTGTTCCCAAGCATATATATATATATAAAATAATAAATTGCCTACTATTCACTGGTTTTGTTCAATTAGGTTGCTAATGGTGTACTGTTTCTATGTATGTCTGATTTGCCATCTAAATATTATAATAAAGAATAACTGCATTTGATATATATATTGAACTATACGTGCCTCTCTAGCTCTGTCAAAGAGACACAAGTTATATATATATATATATATATATATATATAGATAGAAGTTCTAAAAAATGGAAACAGGAGCAATATTGCATTTTAAGTTATACATCAATGTATCTCTCTCTCTCTCTCTCAAACCATGTTATTTATTTTGTCTTGTCTTTTCATGAGATGTCCTTGTGTCACCACTGAACCTAGCCATGTTGTAATTGTAGCTTGTTAGTGAAGTTTCCAAGGTACGTTCATGCAAGATCACTTGGTGGATTCTCAACCAACCTCTGGTACTTTTTTCTTTAAAAGGACAGAGTCAACACTAATTAAAATTTGCATACTTGAATTTTATTAGTCTTTGGAACAAACAATCAAATTACTCATGTAACAAATCAAGTAAATCAAACAATAGCAGGCTAATTAAATAAACACAACCACATTGATCACTAATTATTCTTCGACTTAACGGCTCCAAATCGTTGCCTAGCACCTAGAATTTCGAGTGCAACTGATGGATTATGTTCTTGTCAACTTGAAAAGCCTTCGTCAGAACATCACCAGAGATGTCCGGCTTCGATCCGAACACAGCATTGGCAATGGTAATAACACCAGGATTCTGGCTACCAAGAGCTGCAATAGCAACCGCATGACCATGTCCCACATTTTGCTGGAAATGGACAAGTCCTTCCGAGAACACGAACACGTCACCCTTGTTGAGAACCTTAGCGATGAGCCTGTTTTCCTGGTTGGAGGTGACGAACCCTACGTGGAGGCTGCCTTCAAGGACGGTCAGGATTTCAGTGGCACGAGGGTGGGTGTGGGGAGGGTTGATGCCCCATGGTGCATAGTCGATACGCACCATGGAGATGCCAAGAGTGTTGAGTCCTGGTATTTGAGCTACATTTACTGGACTCACTTTTGAGCCAACTGCGTTGGATGTGTTGCCGGCCACGTGAAGACCGCTGAAGAAGAAATCGGTGGCTTGTGCAAGCTTGGGGTCCTTGCAAACCATGCCATTCACTAGCACTGTTATATGTTGCACCAAAAAAATGTAAGAACTATGAAATATTCAACAAGTACGACTGAGATGTTCGAGTTGTGCTGGGGTTAATATTGTGGGTAAGCGTTCGTTTAGTTAAATTTGCAAGTAAATAATAATAATAATAATAATAATAATAATAATAATAATGATATTTATATATATCAGAAGCTAAGGCCGGTTACGAGTTTGGAATTCACTGCCATACAAAATGGGTGTTGTTTGGCAACCAAGGGCTGTGATTCAAACACATACATAAACACACAAGGCTATATGTTTCAATCACAATCATTGATTGTTGTACATCACCTATGCTGTGCAATATGTTTCAATCACAATCATTGATTGTTGTACATCACCTATGCTGTACAATAGAGGATCTGATCTAACGTTATGAGTTGTACTGTAATCAAGGGTTGTGATTGAAACACACACGACTGCGTGTTTTTTAATTACATACAGTGTTTGATTGTTGTGGAATACCCGTGCTGTACAACAAAGGATTCCGGTCCGCAATGATAAAAGATTTCACCTCGTGTGGAATTGGTAAATTGTACAAATTCTTTGGTGCCGGCTCACGATCTGCTTGATGTACACGGCTTGCTCAAACTGGATTTATGAATAAATTAAAGCAAGCAATCTTTCGATCTCACAATGTAGTAATAGTGAACAAGATTGGTATTCTTAAATAAATTAACAGCAATGGTCATAAAAAAAAAAAAACCATTTGATTTTGAGACGACTTGGTCAGACAAATCGATCATGGACCTATATAATATGTGACCGTTTCAAGACATGAATGCACCCAATTGTCTCAAACCGGGTTTGTAGATGAGCCCAGGGAATGAGGATTAATTATTTCTTGGCTAATTGTTCTGTTCTTGTATTATTTACCAGAAAAACAATGATAAAGGTAATTAATTAATTTTTTCTTGATTTTCATTTGCTTCCTTTTTTTTTTTTTTTTTTTTTTTTTTTTTTTTTTTTTCAGTAATTTGTAAAACTGAACTATACTTATTGTTACAAATTGCAATACCATATTACAGCTTTGATTGTTACTCTGGGACTTTGGTTGGTGGTGTCCTCTGCAATTTCATAAAAAATAAAGAAAGAAAAAAGAAAAATGAATTGTATAAGATTTTGACTTTTATTCAGGCAGGTTGGGGAGAGGAGAAGAATGCAAAGCTTCCAGAGTTGTATATCTATCAGCACTAATTTTTTATTTTTTTTGGGGGGGGAATGAATGTTACAAATACAAGAATTGGTAAGAAACTCAAAACAAGACTAAAAATACAACAATGAATGTTAAAATTATAATTGACAAGCAAAGACAGATTTTGCAGACTGCTTTAAAAATCCACTATTCTGTCATGCACATACACTCCTTACACCGTGGATACCTGTATACACTCCTTCCGGTAGGCCGTGAAAAAACCCGTTTATTTTGTCTTACCGCCTTCCTGACTCTTCCCTCAAACACCTTCCATTCTATTGTGTTGTTCTTCAAAAAGATGTCTGCAAGTCTTCGCTTGTTTGGCCGTATAGTTGGCATTTTCCCTCCACCATAGTATACACGATAACCAGACACCAAAGATGACATCTGACTCCCCGAGTCCGTCATGGCAAATACATCGGAAGCTGTGCAGCCAATGAAGTCCAGTGCCGCTAGCTACACACCAGCAGAAAAAATAAATATTATTGTAACGGACATGAAAACTGCAAGGAATAGTCTGCAACTCAGTCGAATACTTTCAACAATTAATGATAGCTAACTGATGTAAAAAAAAATATATATATATACATGATGGTTTATGTGGGATTACTTTCCTTTCACAGAAAAGATAGTCAGTGCACCAGAGAATACAGGTTTAGTAAATGGAGCAATTATACACCAAAGCATATTTCAGGTCTTCATTTTATATACATATCAGTAATTTTAAACTGAGAGTGAAGTAAGAATACCCAAAAAGATTACACGCAATGCGTAAGGACGCCAAAACTCCCAAATGCACCTAGAACAAAATGAAGGCATCTAGGACCTATGCTTTTTAGGTTTTCAATATATAGCATACTACTTCAAACAATCATTATTGAAAAAATAAAAATAAAAAATCAACTACTCTCTAATCCCACGAGAAAAGATGGTCAGGATGTAGCAAAACATCCTAATTTATTTGTATTACAGAAATCTAAATAAAAAACAAAGTATGAACCTTATTCGAGCAGATGTTGTCCACTAGAGCCCAAAAAAAATCCATATTAAAACGTGGAGAAGTTGAGTTACATAAATTATCAATGTGTTGGATGATAGAAAGAGCTTGCTATAGAACACTTCAAAATTAAAAGTTACACACAAATGGGTGGGGAAGGAACTCAGTTAGGCAAGTCTAGTAATAGCCGAAACAGGCCAAGGATTAAAGAGAAGATGCAATATAAACATTACCTGAGATGAAAAATTGCTGAATGATTCCATTTCAGATGATGAAAGCAATTTCTCTTTAGTAACCAAATTAGGATACAAGCTGATTAAGGCAGCCAACCTCGACCTCCCTCCAAAAATATTGGCACCTGCCAGAAATATGTTGGTCTTGCGGTTAAAACCAAGAGCAGCAAGCATAAGCACAGTTTCTTCAGGCGCTAATGGACATAAACCTTCTGATCTAAGTGCTGTTGGAGAGGGTAACCTGCAACAAATTCAAAGATGACTTGAAATTATTCAAATAAATGTGAGATAAATGCTCCCCATAGTAGTGTAAATCAAATGTACGATAAATATCAACATATCAGTCTTGTTTCTAAGGGTTGTCCATAGATCAAGCGTAATATTGCATCATGAAAAACTAGTTCCAAGAATGCTTCTAGGTAGTCTTATACCAATATGTCCACTACACAAACTGATCTATAATTTATCTGCAACAAATTCTTTACATTCCAGAGGGAGGTAAAGTGATGATGTCACAAGAAGATTCCTTCTGAAAATAGTCCAAAACTGGATCCAACGCTTTGTTTAATGTCAGTGAAACTACAAGTGAATATTACTTTGAGAGAGTTTTTTTCAAAAGTCTGCAGGTGTATCACCTCCATTGCATTCACCATGCAATACTAGTGAAAGTCAACCCCTCAAAAAGAAGCGGCCTCTTCATATGGCCGCTTTCCATATCACAAATCATTATATGTGAGTGCGCAAGTAGAAAATCAAATAATAAAAATGAAAAGGAGGCATACTTTGTGGTATACTTTAGATGAGTCAATGCAGGGAAATGAATTTCACGATATGCTTCCAATTCTTTTCTTTCTTCTTCTCCCCCACCAAACTCGCACAAAGAATGAGCTACCATGTCAATTTCAAACCTCAGGTGCAAAGCCAAGTATCGGGAAGCTTTCAGTGCATTACCCCTTTTCTTCTTCATCTTTGATTCCGCAAATGGGCCAACAAGGTATCGATCTAATGTTCCTGAGTGTGTAGCATTCTGGCGCATCCTTTGAATAAGCAAAGCACCAGTTTTTTGTATTTTGGGAACAAATTGCAATGCATGAAAATTACATCTGCACCGCAGTCTCTAGACAAAGTGCCCCAATTAGCAAGAAATGTATTAAAGGCAAAAAGTATCAGAAGCTAACATTACAATAGATAAAGATGTTAAAAACGCTAGAGATCTACCTGCAACTGAGATGGTAATGGATCAGATGCCAAACGATTCCCAAATCCAACAAAATGGACAACTCTATTTCGATGTAAGATAGGAAGAATGTATTTCAGGTAAAAACTTGGCTTGGCCTCTTTCATAATGTCTGCATCTGTCACCTGTAACAGAATTCCAGTAAGAAATGCAATATGAGCAAAACATTTAATTGAAGCTACCTATGCACCATAAGCAACTGTTATCATTGATTGGGGTAAGAATCTGACCATACTACCAATTGCCTCCAGATCTAATGACTGAAGCTCCTTAGGCAGTTCCTTCACTATCCGAATATCAGGTTTCAAGTAGTTGATAAAATGCTCCTCCTGATAGATATCGCTGAATTGGCTAAGAAATTATAGAATTTGGCAGTCACTTCTCCATTTTAAGAATCGAGACAGATTTCAAACAATTTTGTCATTAGAAACTACTTGGAATACTTATTGTCATATTGATCTTGCATAGAGACAAATATACAGATAAGTTCATATTAAGACGGCACTTTCTGTGAGACTACTATCATTTTACTCAATTCACCATTCTAAATCAGTATTTGAAAACCAAGGCAGGCATCTGAAAGACCCAAGTTCGTATAAAGGTGCCAAATCTGTGAAAGTGAAATCGACTCATTGTAAATGATTAGTTGTAATCATAGAACTTAATACTGGAACGAGTGCCCAAATTAAAATTCATTAACAGAGCAAAATCAAAGATTGTGACATGGACATGAGCTATTATAGCTTGACAAACATGTAAAACTTTTTATGGCAATGGCAAAACACAAAATAGGAAAATTAAAACACACAACACACATAAATCCCATTATGCAGTTATCCCTATCTATCAGAGGTTCTATCGCATTGCCAAGTGGTAGCATTTTCGAGAACATACCAAACGGTTCAAACCCAACCAATCAAATCAAAAGAGATATTCCCTCAATATAAGCATATAGTAGAATAATGAATATATAAATATATAATATGCTAAACTTTGTGCTCTCAGTATCATCTTATAACCCCAAGAAAAAATAAGAGAAAACCTTACTTGCTCATATGAATAAACTATTCTTGAGGAACACTGAAGGAATCTAATATAAGAGTAAAACCAAGGGTCTTATAACAAAGAAGTAAACTTGTAAAATAGGTTCCCTCCAATAATGAATGACCTTTAGACCAATATGTAATCTTACACGAAGGTAGAGGCATCAACAGTTTATCACTACAGAACAGAAAGAATGTAAGATGGAAGAAAAAAGATGACGACAAAACAGAAGAGCTTAATATGTCACCTCACATCTCTCCAAACGCTACTATACAGAAAATTGGGAACAACAAGAGTTGCATTAAGTAATCGAGCAACAGCAACAGCATTACAGACCTGTTGTCAATCAGAGCAGTGATTTAGCTGGTAGAAAACAGTACAAGCAATTTTATATTATTCAATAGGACCGAAACTTCTTTTCAGGAATCAAGACGACTCATACGATTGAAACAACTATAAATAATCATAGAAGCAGGAATTTGATTCATAGACATAACTTACAGCTACTCGTTGTTGGTTTATCCCACCATTAGCACTAACAAGAATGTATCCATTGAATCCCTCTGATTACAAACAACATTCAGCACCATATGAGATTTATTAAGTCGTGGGATGCATCCGTGCATGTGGCCATACACACAGAGATAGATAGATAGGTTGAAGGGGAGAGAGAGAGAGAGAGAGGGTCACCATTAGGTTCCCAGTTACGTTGGTCAGCGCAAGGTATCCAGGAAGAAGCAGGGACGAATGGCTCATCCCAAAGGCCTTTTGGCTCGGGTTTGTTCTGTCCCTGAGTATTGTAACATCAAATAATAAAACAAGGCAACTTAACAACCAAATAATGAAACAAATATATCCGTTGTATGGATTAACGTAAGACAAACTTCACAAATTAAGCCTACCTCTGCCAAGGCATGGGCCGCTTTAGCCAACAGCCTTGCATAGATAGTTTTTTGTGGCTTCTTCCCCTTTCCAATCTTTCCCAATTCTCCCTGTAATCATTGTGTGAGGAAAATGTAAGAACAACCAGATTTCTGCACCAGCTCAAACAAAACACATTGATGTACAACAATTGTACCAATTTTGACTACTCCACTAACCAGCAAAAAGGAATCAGCTGTGTGTGTGTGTGTTTTTTTTTTTTTTGTCAACCGGCTCTGCATTTAATTTTGAAACTGGACTTGCAACACAATCCAGGAAGACATAGTAGCAGGTGGATTAGTGTAGCACAACAACCATTTCTACTGTAGCATCAAATTGAGATGTAAAATCCTATAACACTGCTCACAACGACAACATAAGGAGTATCATACTTGTAATTGCCACATCAAGTTGGTTCCTGCAAAGATGGACAAATAATTGAATACCTCCATCCTACTGTACAAGTAACTGACACCCATTGATTAATTGTCCATTACAATTTAGCCACATGCCTAAAATCATTCTTTCTCCACAGTTCAACAAATCAAAGCTGTTCTATACAATACCAAATATTATTGACCAATCACTTCTCTTATATTCTTTCAAAAGAATTCAATTTTTTTCAGGATCCAGTAGGCAATAAAAACTACAGCATTTATGGGTAATTTTTATACATTTCCAATCTTTTGAAAGTTTCAATGTTTAGTAGAATCCTGCTAGTAAAAGATGATTGAACTCATGCATCAACAGCGCATTTCACCAGTAGTAACTTGTACTTGTACAAGCTAGAACTTTAACCTCAAAATTGAATTGAAACTTGATTAAAACATACCGGAATTGACAACTTTGAAGCATTTGCTCTTCGAAACTTGTGCTTAAGACTCAGACCAAATCCCGAATCTTGAATCCGCCAAAGCATCCACCAATTCATCAAGAAAAAACAAGCCACCAATCCAATCACCGCCGCTATTCCCCTCACTCGCCTCCTATACCAGACCTTCCTCGCCTTCTTATTCAGCACTCTCTGCCTCGATTCCAAGAAAAACCCTAACTCTAACCACCGAATAAACCCAAAACAACAAAGAGAAGAAGACTGGGCATTGGAGGACCGAGTTCCGAGGGGATCTCGAGGCGAGCTCTGTCGAGTTCTTGGAGTGGAGCACCGAGCGGTTAACGAGTTGGACAACTGGTTCGACTCGGACCGATCCGAGACTCGGATTTCATCAAAGTCAGGTTCTTGCTGAGCTTGCTGTTGAATTAGTATCAGACCGTTGGTTTCCACAGGTACATGTGAGGAGTGACTAGAGATGGAGGTCATATTCATGATCTATAGTTAGCTAATCTGTACCGAATGTTTCTTGAATGTCATCTGAATCTGTGTGTGTTTGTGAACATTGTGTGTGTGTTTGTGAACTTTGTGTGCGTGTGTGTGTGTGTGTGAGAGAGAGAGAGATACAGAGAGTTGAAGACGTGCTTTTTTCTTTTTTTTTTTGTAGGAATATTTAGTGAGGGTGGTGGGAAGTGTCCGAATTAAAACTAAATATGAGGGTTTGGTTTCCTGTCTTAAAAAATGCCACTATGCCACTAATTATGTATTAAGTATATATATTTTTTTATGAATAATGCCATTCACTTCTTATGTAGTCAAATAACAAAATAGCACGTCACATTTAATAATAAAATAATTCACACCTTTTTTTGTTTTCTTGGATCAACTATCCAATAAATGTATATAGTTTTCTTGAATCAAGTATCGAATAAATGTATATAGTTTTCTTGAATAAAGTATCGAATAAATGTATATAGTGTTTTTAGGTGTGGATTATTTTATTATTAAATGTGATGTGCTATTTTGTTATTGGACCACATAGGGAGTGGGTAATTTCACCCTAGTGAGTAGCTAAGCATTGTCTATTTTTTATTAAAAAAATTGATAAAAAAATTAAGGGTAAAGTGCAAAAAAAACCCCTGAACTATACTCTCTCTCCCTAAAAACCCCCCTGAACTTTTTTTTTAACATTTAACCCCCTGAACTATCCAAACTTTTGCAAAACTTACCCACCGGTAAGGTTCCATTTGGTTCCTCCGGCTAAATAGGCACGTGATAATCACATGCCAGGGCTGTAACTTTAAAATGACAAAGCTGCCCTTATTGTATAAAACCAAAATTTTTGATATTTTCCAAAAAAAAAAAATATCCAAAATTAAAACCTAAACAAAATTAACCCCAAATCGCCGACTCTCTCTCTCTGTATCTTCTTCCCCAACCAGCCACTTCCACCATCCATGGACGCCACCACCGCCTCTCCCTCTCTCTAATCCAACTCCATCTCTTTAAGAAGATGAGAAAAAAAAATTAAGACAAACAACAACCCCCTCTCTCTGTTTCTAACCCTAGGAATCCAACTTTTCCTGCAAAATCAAAGAGTTTGCAACAATCAACACCCCCCTCTCTCTCTCTTTTCTAGACCTTGGAACCCAACTTTTCTACAAAATCAATGCAAAAGAAGAAAACACACAAAAACACACATCTTAACCTTCTGCAATCCAGTCTGGTTGGGTCTCAGCAGGTGGGTCAAAATTCACAAGCACCGGACACGGCGATGCCGACGACGAACAACGAAGGCGACGACGGCGATCCAATTGGGTTTCAATCTGAATATCAATTCGGCGACGAGACCATGTTCTCGATTTGGGTTCGCTGAAACAAGCAATTGGGTCTAATTTGAACCATCAATTCGGCGACGAGTGAAAGGGGGGTGTGTCGCCGGCTGAGTTACGGTTCCGATGAGGAGTGTAAGGGTATCGATGGAGAGGAGTGGTGAGGGTTTTGTTTGGATTTCAATCCCTCTGTTTCATATTTAACTATTTCTCCCGAAAATGCTTCCTCTGGATATCTTCAATTCTCTGGACAGGCACATATATATATATATAGACACACACATAGAGGGAGGGAAGGAGAGAGCTGCTGTTTATGCTGCCTTAGTTGGAGCGGCGAAATCTTGCGGTTAGGATTGATGAAGAAGATAAACAGTGTAATGATAAGGCTGTGTTTGGGTAATTAGGTGTAACAGTAAACTAAGGTTGTGTTTGGGTGTGATTTGGGAATAAACCATCAAAACTGCATCGTTCCACTAAAGGATAATTTTGTAATTTTCTTTTTCTGGTGACGGAAACTTGCCTACTGTCCTTAAATGCAACTTTTTAATAGTTCAGGGGGGCATTGGTTAATTCAAGGGGGTTTTGTGCAATTGGCTGATAGTTCAGGGGGGTTTTTTGCATTTTACCCAAAAATTAATGAAAACATTTTGTATTTTGAATGTTTTCTTTTCTTTTTCTTGTTCAACATGAGATCCAATTATGGGCGGGCTTTGGAAACGAAAAGTTATTTTGTCATTTATTTTATTATCATTTTATGATGTTGCAGATGCAAAATTTTATAGGTAATGGAAACTCGGTCAGCTATTAAATCGATCAAATCGAATAATTTTATATGACATATGAAAATATAAAACTATCTTTTATCTAGAATGGGGCATTTAGGTCTCTAGAATTTTTATTTTTTATTTTTTTATATATATAATAAGATATAAGGTAATTTTTGGACGTATTTTCGAGGAGCACAACCCAAAATTTTCAAAAACTTATAAACACAAAATAATCAAAATGCACCATTTTGAGCAAATTAGGAGGATCTAGATAAAAAATTTCAAAGAAAATAGAAATATACATTTCAAAGTTTCAAGAAAAAACAGATTTAAATAAATGAAAAGATATCTATGCATTTTATATATGGAAATGAAAGGTATAGTAATTTTTAGAATTTTTTATTTTGATTGAAGCATTTTAATTGATAATTTTGTAATTCAAAATATAAGACGATCATATTTACTTTAATATGAAGCTGAATTTTGAGATTTTATTTTTTGTGAATTTTGAGATTTTATTTTTTGTGTTTTAAATATTAATATCTCATTTTAATAAAAATTTTATACTCTTATAATTTTTTTAATATATGTGAAATATTATAAAGGTCTCTCGTGTGAAAGTTCACCAACCACCCCTCAAAATTTTGAGAATCTCGTGGTGGGTTGACTATATATGTATGCGCAAATATGAATTTTGATTCCTCTCGTTCTCCGAAACACAGCATTCGATCAAGCCATTTGTGTACATACAAAAGCACAATAGGCCAAATTGTATGTATCACTGATCTCTATGTTTCACAATTGGCCAAATCTGATGATTTTCAATCCACGTTAGGCCACGCTTTAATGAAAAATATATACGAGTATATATATATATATTTAATGTAAACTATTTAATAATTTTTTTTTATATATATATAATAAGATATAAGGTAATTTTTGGACGTATTTTCGAGGAGCACAACCCAAAATTTTCAAAAACTTATGAACACAAAATAATCAAAATGCACCATTTTGAGCAAATTAGGAGGATCTAGATAAAAAATTTCAAAGAAAATAGAAATATACATTTCAACGTTTCAAGAAAAAACAGATTTAAATAAATGAAAAGATATCTATGCATTTTATATATGGAAATGAAAGGTATAGTAATTTTTAGAATTTTTTATTTTGATTGAAACATTTTAATTGATAATTTTGTAATTCAAAATGTAAGACGATCATATTTACATTAATATGAAGTTGAATTTTGAGATTTTGGTATAACCACTTTGGCCTTAGCCTTGTTTTTGCCACGAGCCTTTGGAGTATTACCCCGGCCCTGCCCATGGGGGGGCTGATTCATGAACCCTGCAAAAATTCACGAGTTAGAAAATCCGGTAAAGAATTAGAACTGCCTTTAATATATGCAATAGAAAAATCAAAAGCAGATAAATCAGCTTGCCAACCAGCAAATATCTGTTTGGAAACTAAATTTTTAACATCTTTTTCCAGTACTTGTTTAGCAGCACTACAATCAATGCGTAACAAGAATTTCTGATTGATTAAATCATCTTGGAATTTATAAATGCATTTAACCAAAGAAAGAATTTCCTTTTTTATGGTTGAATAATTTAATTGTGCATTTTTCCAAGTTCCTGAAGTGAAGCGAACAAGTTCCTCCGTTCCTGTATTTGGATTTTGCTGTTTCAGAATACCACCGTATCCAATGTTGGAGGCATCTGTTTCCACAATTTTGAACCATGAAGAATTGGCTAGAGCTAAGCAAGGAATTTGTTTTGCTCTGAGTTTAATCTTCTGGACTGCTTTGGTGTGATCCAAAGTCCATGGGGAAGGAGATTTCCTTAACCTGGTGTACAAAATTGCTGTATCCTGTGCAAGATTTTTGTAGTGACTTCGAATATAATTCAAGCTACCCAAAAATCTTTGGAGCTGAGTTTTATCCTTAATTTCATCTGGAAATTTAGAAGCAAACTCAATACTGCGATCAATAGGTCTAATTTTCCCATCACAAATTTCATGACCAAGAAATCTGACCTTTGTTAAAAACAATTTTAGTTTAGGAGCAGAAACTACTAAACCACTTCGGTAAATGATATCTTTGAAAATTTTCAAGTGTTTATAATGCTGATCGATTGAATTTGAAAATATGAGGATATAATCAATATAAACAATAGAAAATTCAGTAAAAGGATTAAATATGTCATTCAAAATATGTTGAAATTCTGAAGGGGCATTTTTTAATCCAAATGGCATTACTGTCCATTCATACTGTCCGAAAGGTACGCAAAAAGCTGTTTTGTACCTGTCTTCTTCGGTGATTTGTACCTGGTAATATCCAGATTTAAGATCAAATTTAGAGAAGATTACAGCAGATTGCAACCTATCTAAAAGATCTTTGATATTGGGGATTGGATATCGGATCCAACTTAAAGTAAGATTAAGTGGCCGATAATCAATAACCAATCGAGGAATTCCTCGTTCCTTTTCAGCATTTTTATTGACATAAAAAGCTCTACAACTCCAGGGGGAGTAGCTAGTAGTGACAAGCTTTTTAGCCATTAAAGAGTTGATTTCAGTTTTACATAATTCCAAGTAGTCAGCTTTCATGTGGCTGGGACTAGCTTTAGAAGGAATCATGCTATCAGTAAACCCCTTGACATAGGGTAAAGAAACAATATGCTTCTTTCTGGCCCAAAAAGCATTAGGAATCTCACTACAGATTTCTTTTAGAAAGTGTTGCCGTAGTGACTCAATTTTCTGTTGCTCCTTGGGTTGTACCAATCTTTGATTAATTGCTAAGGAGGATACCTCCTGTTGCAAATAATTCAGTTGTTTTTCCTTAAAGATAATGTTATCTTTAAGAGTATTGATATGCTTATTTACTGGTGGGGTCAAGAACTGGAAAGTAATTGACTGGCCATGTAAAGTAGAGCATATTCCATGAGAATCAATTTTCTCAATTGGCATAATCAAAGCTAAAAAGGGAGTGCCCAAAATAACCTGTTGTGCCAAGTTTCTGATGAGTAAGAAGGTAGATGGGAGGCAAATACCTTCTTTACAAATGAAAACATCCTGGTAAAAAATACTGAAGTAGTGGAATGGACCAATGTTCAAAATCAATTGAACAAATGGACTATCCCTCCAGTAAGTGCTAAAAGCATTTACAAAATCGGAATGCTTAATTTAGCTGATCTATGGACTATTAAGACCATGGAACAGACCATGCAATTAAGCACTAAGGATACAATAATTAAATTAAACAATATGCTGATCTAAGGATACAATAATTAAACAATATGCTGATCTATGGACTATTAGGCATTCTTGGTTTTTCAAGATATGTCCTCAATCAGTTAAGGCTGATTTTCCAAACTGGGTTATACCCTGGTGGGCTATATTTGGCCCTGATCTGGATATGTTGCCTGAATCAATCAGCAAATTATATTTGCCATGGCAACAATTTCATCCTCAATTACGAGGACAGGATAATATTCCTGTAGGGAAATCCACCCTATTGTTCTTTACTGAATTTGGAATCCCTTGGATTTGGAAATGGGATTTCCAATGTGGTTATACCACTGACAAGTTACCAGTCCTTCAGAGGATATTTTATTACAGATGGTGGTCAGGCATGACGCAAGAACCTATTCAAGCCCTCCTCCATCAGATCAGAAAGAAAACAATGGAATATATGGATAAGATTCCAAAGTTAACTATTCCGGAACCAGAAATCTTTAACCCCTTTGAACTTGTTAAAGATATGATCAGAAAACAACAACCATTAATTACTGAAGCAGATTTAATGGTTAAATGCATGGATTTTATGAGGAATAAATTTGTTAAATCCTTTGAATCCTCTACCCCTACAGTACGAGATGATGCATCCATGGTATCAGTCTCTAGCCAGACCAGTCAAGATGGAAATCAGTTTTCTTGTCTTGCAGGTTATGCTCAGGATCCCAACGAAGATCTTAATTCCGAAGATGAGATTTCGATAGCAGACTATTGGGACTCTCTCACAGGACATTTGAAGGATAAGATGAATCCACCCAAAAAGTAAAGATTCCTCTTAATCCTACCGACAGAAGAAGCCAAAGAACTTTTCCAAAAGTCTTTGATTCAACAGTATTTCCTTTCATCAGATGTCTACTTTCCATCCGATAAGGAGACAGCACTTAGTGGTGGGCCGACCGACTGCATTATTCGAGCACACGATCCCATACACTATGCGGACTTCAAATTGTGAATTTCAAGTCCATTTTATGTATAAATAGAAGGCGATGTTTTCCTTCAATGTATCTTTCAATTTTCTTTTCTCTCCTCTGTAATATTTCTCTGTACAAGTTTAATAAAGAAAGTTTTCTGTAAGTCTTTTAAATTTTGTTCTAGTCTATCGATCCTTTATAGATATTGCATATATATACTGTTACTGTATCTATCTATATTCATATCTATATCTAATTTGGTATCAGAGCCATGTTGGCTTAAATTTTTATTGTTAATGCTTTTAGGTTCTGGTAGCATGATTATTATCGTAATTATGTACTGAACAATATGAATATTATTCTGTCTAAATTATGTTTATCACAGATTCAATTATGGGTCGTCCAAAAGTCGCGTTGGAATGTTTAACCCGTTTTTGCATTAGATTGCTGCACAGGGTATTGTTTCCAGTAAATCGTTGACAGACGAGTAATAGAATCTCTCTTAAGCAGAACGACGACAGAATAGTAACTTACTGTTCACTATATAATATTATAATAGTTACACTATGCAGACCTAAAGTATTAACAATAATTAACAGCCATGTTACAACCATCTTCGTCCTCCTCTTCAGGACTACAGGATAACCAGGATTCAGAACTGGTAAAAAATACTGAAGTAGTGGAATGGACCAATATTCAAAATCAATTGAACAAATGGACTATCCCTCCAGTAAGTGCTAAAAGCATTTACAAAATCGGAATGCTTAATTTAGCTGATCTATGGACTATTAAGACCATGGAACAGACCATGCAATTAAGCACTAAGGATACAATAATTAAATTATTGTCTTCCCGTGACCTTCAGAGGCACATGCATAAATATAAGTACATCCATATAGGTTTAATTCAAATTGCTTTTAAACCTTTAACCTTGTTAGGTATGGATGCCTGCATTCAAGCAACCCTAAGGGATGCTAGATGTCTGAAATTTCACCCTTCTTTGATGGGTGCACTGGAAACCAGTCTATGTCATGGACCGGTTTATTTTGATGTCTATCCTAGTCTGAATTTATCTTTAACAGATAAAAATATCCATGAGGCAGTAAGTCTTAGGGTACAGACTTATGGATATGATTACTTACCTGGATCGGAAGTGATAAGTGTTATTTATCGCATCCATTACAAAGTACTTGATACTATGTGTCCCAAGGCCATACGCAAAGACTCTAAAGGAGTAACAGCGTTATGGGACACTAACATGTACACATCCAATGTTGCCACAAAAAGGATGATTCCTTGGAGTGAGATAACATTTCCTGAACACTGGACGATTTCTAATGCCGTCCCAGCACAGCCAATTGCTAATCATAGCTTAGACTGTGTTATTCAGGACCAAGATGGTGATGTTTTTCTGAATTTCAGAAAATCTATAGATCTATCCAGATCTGCATCATCTAAAGGAAGCCATCTTCCTTATCGTGTTTCTTGTCCTCCTTCTCGACATTCGATCTCTTCAGATTATCGTAAAGAAGGACTCCCTGAAGCAGTTGATTCCAAGCTCAAGCTGAAAGGAATACAACAATCCCCGAATCAGATTCCAAGAGGAGTTTACGAGAAGGCACCCATAGGTATGTCTCGTCGCCAATTTGGAATTGAATTCAGCCCAACTCCATCTGAAATGGGAATCGGAAACGAATCTGTAAAGGATCAGTTTGAAGATCCTACAGATATCAATGATCCTCATGAATATTAGTTTTAATGGATTTTGTCCCTGATAGAATTGCCATTAATGCTGAATTTCAACAGGATCAATATAAAGAATTCAGAAGTTGGTATTTCAAAAGTTTTGACCAAAATCAATTACAACTTTTCAAAACCCAATTTTATGAATTTCTACAAGAACGCAAAATGGTTATACCTTTTGTTTCTTGGTTTTACATGACCAATCATTCTCTTGTTAATATTAACATATTGGATGATTTTCTCAAACCATGGACCACATCTGAAGATAAGGTCTTCCACTCTGTCCATCCTCCCCCTGACCATCTAATTCTCAAAAGAATTGACCCGGACAGTGGTTCTAAAGTAGAAACCAAGGCTTATAGCCAACCGAAAGTAATTGACCCAACTAGTACTGCGACTAGAAAGGACATTACTCACGTTTACAAGCAGAACAATTATACCAATGTTTGCTTACAAACTATAGGGTCCCAGCTTGGGAGAATTGAAACAGGAATAGACACGGTGTTAAATACAATTAATACTAAGTGTATTTCTGTGAAAACTTCTCCTCCAGAAGCTTCCTTATCCAAAGCATTGGTGAAACCTGCAATTGAAGTTCAAGGCTTCAATCTGACACATCCTAAGAAGAATGAAGAATTTCTTACTCTTCTTACTCAGAAAATTCAAGGACTTAAAATTCAGACTTTATCCCATGATGAATCTGAAATTGGTTCTGATTCTGAGAATGTGTTACCTCATATTGAGGAAGTCCTTAAGGATCTTACTCAGCTACCTGAGTTCAACAGGATTGTCTATGATAAGAATATCCACTCAAATACAGCCCCTGCTCCGAGTCGATATTATTATCCCAGACCCACACCTCAAGATATCTTGTATGAAGAAGATTATTTTCATACACAGAAATCTTTTCATGGCAAGACCATTTATGAATGGAACATAGATGGCAAATCTGATTATCAGATTTACGAGGTTATTCATCAAATCCTGATGTATAGCCAAGTTTGTAAAATCAACAACAATACTGACCCAACCATTGCTAAGTTTGTCGTTGCTGGTTTTACAGGAATCCTTAAAGGATGGTGGGATAATGTTCTCACTGACATTCAGAAAGCTGAAATCTTTGCTGCTACCAAGACTGTTAAAGATGAAGCTACTCAACAATCAGGCCCTGCTCCTGATGCGGTTTACACACTCATTACCACTATTATCCAACATTTTGTTGGCCCTGAAGGTGCTAATAGTGAAAGGAGTCGTGAACTTCTGCAAAATCTAAGATGTCCATCTTTAACTCATTTCCGGTGGTATAAAGATGTATTCTTGGCAAAGGTTCTCCAACTCAATGATGCGAATCATGAGCACTGGAAAGCCAAATTTGTAGATGGTTTACCAACCTTCTTTGCTGAAAGAATCAGGAAAAAGCTTAGAGATATGAATAATGGTATCTCTATCCCTTACAGAAACTATACCTATGGTGGATTAGTTAACATTGTAATCCAAGAAGGTCTAGCTCTCTGTAATGATCTGAAGTTACAATCCCAGTTAAAATCCCAAAGATTAACTGGTCGAAAGGAAGTAGGTGAATTTTGTGATCAATTTGCCTATCAAACTCCCTTATCTTATCCTAAACCTAGGAAAAGAAATAAGGTTGAAAACCCTTATAAAAGGAAGTATTCCAAAAGAAAGAATTATTCAAAGGAAAAGGATAATTCTAGACAGTATACTAAGCCTAAAAGGAGATATACTCCTAAAGCAAAGGGTAAAGGAAAGCCCAAGGCTGAGGCTAAATGTTTCAAATGTGGACGCATTGGCCACTATGCAAACAAATGCAGAACTAAGGAGAAGCTCAGTAGTCTTCACATAGAAGAAGAACTGAGACTTCAATTAAGTAAATTGTTACTTAATACTAGTTCTTCTGAACCAGAATCATCAAGTGATTACGGAGATGTTGTCATGGAATTACAATCTTCTTCTTCCTCTGAAGCAGAGATTGAAAACCCTAGATGTTCCTGTAATCCTTCGCATGATGATTATTATAAGGCAATTGTTGAGATGAATGGATTAAGCTTAAATGTTTTAACTTCAACTCAACAATCCTTATTGGATCTTATAGATCATATCCAGGATCCTCAAATCAAGATGAAAGTCTTTGAAATAGGTTCTGCTCTGGCAAAATCTAATGAGGAACCGGATAATCCAGATTTTCTGCGAGCAGAAAATCATTACAGCATGAAAGAAGTTCTACGCAGATTAGAACACCAAGGACAAAACTCTCGTCCTGCTAATCTCCCAGATCTTAAGATGGAGATTAACCTTTTAAAAGAAGAAATTCGTCAATTAAAGTCTAGACAGACTACGATGGATTTGGAAATTACTCTTTTAAAAGCAAAATCTGCAATCCCATCTTCATCATCCAATGATGAAGTTATTCCATCCGAAGGTAATAATTATCTTCAACTCTTGAATCAAGTTACTTACCAAAAATGGTATATTACTATCAATTTGGTAATTAATCAGGAGTACACACTCACTAATGCAATTGCTTTAGTTGATAGTGGTGCAGACATGAACTGCATACAGGAAGGTTTGGTTCCTACTCAATATTTTGAGAAAACCACTCAAGGTTTTACCAGTGCAAGTGGTGGTAAGATGCAGATTAAGTATAAACTTAATCATGTTTTCATTTGTAAAGAAGGTATTTGCCTCCCATCTACCTTCTTACTCATCAGAAACTTGGCACAACAGGTTATTTTGGGCACTCCCTTTTTAGCTTTGATTATGCCAATTGAGAAAATTGATTCTCATGGAATATGCTCTACTTTACATGGCCAGTCAATTACTTTCCAGTTCTTGACCCCACCAGTAAATAAGCATATCAATACTCTTAAAGATAACATTATCTTTAAGGAAAAACAACTGAATTATTTGCAACAGGAGGTATCC